TTTAATTTTTGGCCTTAGCTTAGACAAAAGCATACCATGTTTGGATAATTATAAATTGGCATGACTCACTGAATTTCAATATGCAAAAATATTTAGTATTTTCTCTCCCATCTCTTCACGCTGGCCAATACAAAAAAGTCACAGACGTGCCCACAGATGAGCTTTATAAATAAAGAGATTGCTCGGCCCAAACACTTCTGCTCCTAAAAAATTGTGAATGAAAGCATGCGACAGCAAAAGGCACATCCACTTGGGGAAGGACAGAAAGATGTCGCAGTGGCCTGTTTTATTTCATCCTGTTGCTTCTGTTAACTCAGATGTAGTTTCGCAGTTTTTAATGTGGGCACAAGGGCTCTTTTTTTCATGAATACGTCTAGTAAGACGCTTATATTAGAAAGCCCGAGTAATGTTTGATTCCCGTTAAGCCAATCTTAAATGTGTGTACATTTTGTTTGCCTTCGACTGGTAACCTCGCGCTCGAGGTAATTGACAAGTTCTGTCTTCCTGGGATACCCGTCGTTTCGAGCTAGGCGTCTCGCGAGGCCTAACATGATCATTTACTGTCCTTTTACCGCATTCTGCCACGAATGTTCTATTTGATGTCCCAGAATTTGAGAAAACTCCATGTGCAGTGCTTTACTATTTGTACTAGTCTTCTGCTGCTCCCCCCAGCCGCCATCTTGTGGGTCTAACATTCGGTCATCAGTGCGGAGTTCGTACTGAATTTCAGGAAAGGCCGTCTTTAAGGCATTTCTGCATCTGGAGTAGCTGGCTACAATCGGCGTAGAAAAATATTTTTGGTCTTCTCTGACTGTGTCACCCCTTCAACTCAGAGGGGACGCGAATACCTCTAACCGCTTGCCACTTGTCAGTCTGAGATTCCTCTTCTTAGAAACTCAAATGTGCAGTATTTAGACGTGCTAGTCCAAGCTTCCCACAGCACATAGTTGGGTTTTCGTCTGATGAAACTTGACACTCATTTGTCTTCGTCACACATTGACTTCATTTATCTTTGCTTCCTTAATTATTTCAAACATTGTTTATTGATGTTGGCGGAAGTTGTGGTATTCACTTCCGAGAAACCCCAATTACTTAGTCAATGGGGTGATTTTCTAATTAATCACCGTCTGAGGTACATTTTATACACCCTCCCTCCGACATGGTCAAGGCCATATTCTGCCCTCCCAAGTTTGACTGTGTTCCAGCGCAGATAGCTCCCAAACACGGATACCGCTTGTCTGTGGTAGCCCACCCTAATTTACCTAATCTGCCCTATGCTGTTCCTCATCCGTGGCTTTCACAGTGTACAGCAATCGGCCATTCCGACGGACACTAATCTTCTTTTTGTTGTTTATTCGTGGGCAGGTTTTTGCGACTAGGACCTCTGTGTGCATTAGGAATTCCGGGGTAATTGCACAGAACATCGACCTCGGGACTTCATTCCAGCTACTTTAATCTTTCTCTTAAGAGGAAGTTTACTCGAATGGAAATTTCATTATATTTACTCGGTTTTACTATCGTCTGCTTCTTTACTCAACTGCCCGGCGTGAGCTGATTTGTGGTTTCCTGCAAGTTTATCCTTTTCCTTTTTTTACAGCGAACCGCCCTCTCCAAGGTCGAGACCTTGCTGACTGAACACGAACTGGAAGCGATGCAGTCGCGCAAACACTGCGATCCTGCAACCAAACGAAAAAATTCAATCCCGCCGGCTGTGATATCTGATGTCCAGAAGTTACATCATGTCATCCGGTTGTTGGCGGAAGATCTAAATGCAAACGTCAAGGTTTTCATTGACGGCATGAGGTAATCATCTTCTTTCAACCCTTTCATTGTTTTTGTTCCATTATGTGCTTCAATACTTTTATTTCGCTGGGTACCTCGAATCGGCATTTCTTACTTGTTGTCCATGTCCAGTGGGTAAGGCTTTGAGGATTCAAACTTGAGTTAACACATTCGTGTCGCAAACCCTAACTCTGAGCTAGGATGACAGTGCAACCGTCGTAGTCCGACGAGGTCCACCGTGTGCTCCACGAGATGGTGGTGCAGGGACGGTAACTTGCGCTGCATCTACACCGTTGTCCCATCTGGGCCTGGTGTCAAGTCAGCGACGGAATCATGTGCACGTCCAAGCACTAATCTCCCGTCTATCATGATTTCCCCCTCGTCTTAACCAACTGCATAACCAAGCAATCTGAAGTGACGGCTTTTAACTACAATGATAGCCAGGAGACACTGTCAACCGGTGGTGACTTATTTACTTTACT